GATGAACGTAACCTTTTCAATGGTTGCAAGGATTCGATCATGATCTGACAGCTCGTCGAGACGTTCCCAAAAAACTTTTGAATATTCTTCGACCTAAAAATGCACAAAAATTCAAGCCGGATTTTTGTATGATACTTCGGACTTCAAACTGACTTCCAAAAAGCACTGATGAAGTACGGTCACAAGAATGAAACAAACAAACTTCCGCCAACGTTTTTGTATCGATTTCTTTCGCGATATTCTCCAAATCATTCCGACCATATTTTTCGTTCGCTTTAACGAATTGTTGAAATTCACGTCGAGACCAATTACCTTGCCCCTACAAATCAGTTCATCAACGCAATCCATACATTCCTCAAAAATACGAACATTGCCCATACATTACCTTTTTTTTGGTTTTATTCGTAGTGATCATTCTGACTTGGATTTAGAACTTTTCGCTGAGGCTCGCAAAGGATGTCAAGAAACAAGAATAATCACTAGGAAGAGCTATTTTGCCCGCTGCTCCTTTTTAACAACTCGCGATGCTCACTAACTTTACTTTCGTCAAATCTTAATCAGTAATGTCCAGTAAATAACGATCAAACTATATTAGAATTAAACGAAATTTTCAATCTGAATCAACAGATTCAATAAATACATTGTTTCGACAATACAAATTGCTCGATACAAAACCCATCAATGCCGTCAGTTACGATGCCTAAACGTGGAAGTCTTGCTGAATAAAGACATAAGAACACACTTTCACAGTTATCCATTCCAATATCACGAACAACTGTGCCTGCTCTCAAGTGGCTGATGAACGAAAGACACGAAGTGATGATGGAGCAACTGACTGACCTGAGTTAGAAGTTCGGTTTTCTCGACGATTTCAGCGTCCGTCAACGCAACCGCACTGTCGATTTTCTTTTGCTCTTCTTTCTGCTTCTTCTCAGCCTCTTTCGGTGGAAGATCCGGTTGTTTTTGAGCCTTAAGAAAAGTTATTTCACAGTCAACTATAACATCGATTAGGAATTCTTTGCGGAAGTTTCTAAAACAAAAAACTGCTTTAGAAAGGACACATTCTTTTTGAAAAAGATGAATGAATGCTGATGAGAAGCTCATCAAAGGCATCATATCTGATTAAAACGTACTCAGACTGTCATCTAAAAAATAAGAATTTTCTTGAAATTTATAAGACTGAACGTCTCTCGACCTTTTTCACCGGCAAAGCAAAGTTCAAGCGAACTTAACAGTTAATCTTTAAAAAGTAAACACATAAATAATGCCCAAATATGGACTCATCCTTAAAGAAGATCAAAAGAGATGAGAGTGGATGATCTGGAAACAGTTAAAAGCATAAACGAAGAAATGAATGAATAACACAACCAAAATCATTAGTGTAAAAGCTATAAGCCTCATCAGGACATGCTATTCTTATTGTTAATCCATCCTTATTAGAGCATCGTTTCAACATATTCATTCAGTAGCACCTCCCTTCGGCACTCATTTATAAGTCATTCATACGCTCGTTGCTACCTGCCATTCACCTTCCCTACATTCAGCTGATCAGTGCAATCTAACTGTCTTCAACTTCAGTTTTAATTTGATAAAACTTTGAAGTCACGTCTTAAACGTTCACATTTTCATAACAATCAACAATATTGTCTCTAAACTGAACGCTCCGAATCGGACACTGTCGACTATCGTCACATACTGAAGGAAAGCGTTTGAAAAGCTTCACAACTGGATTCACAACAATGTCCTCGACAAACACCCCTAGTAGTGCTACACCCAACAAAAATAGTCCCTTTCAAAGTATCTTCGTATGCGGCTTTATTGAGAGACGATGGCATAACAGGTTCCGTTCATATTTCATCAAAATATTACAATTTCAAAAAAAAAAAAATTCAAAGAACAATTCGAATTGATAATGTCAAACACTGTGAATATCTGAAATCTATTTAGCACACTCAACCCACAAATGTTCACAATTCGCTTATCTCACAAATTTGATTAACATAGACATCTTATAAATTTCTCTTATAAACAAATCAAAAGCTTCAGTTCATTACAATCAATAATCAGTGATCTGCTACCAACGAATTACGTCTGTTGCAATGAACCAAATAAATTACAATGGTCCATCTCAACCACGAAACAAATGCTTTCGAATGCTCAACTGTTCATATTCTTCGTCAACGAATTCACAATTGCCGACTTACGATGTTTATTAACATTGCAACTCGCATGGGATTTCATGATACCGATATTCATGCTACGTCCACCGCGAACGAAACTCGTTGTTTGTGAAACTGATGACGTTTTTGCGATGCCAATTGCTGAGTTCGTTGTTGAGG